TTCGGATGCTGCACCAATCTTTTCAACTTACAACGTTCACGCTCCTGCAAGAAAATTTTTAATAATTCCAAAATTTTCAAAATTTCTCAAAAATTTTCAAAAAATTCTCAAAGTTTTCAACAAAATTTTAAAAAAAAATTTTAAAAAAATTTCAACTGTTAATTCACAAAAGTGCGAAACGTGGTCACTGACGAAAGCTGAATCTGTCTTTTCCCTAAAACTGGCTATGAAAGACAAAAACGATTGAGCGAAGGATGCTTGGCGTGTCTTTTGTAACCACACAAAAAGACGGTCAAATTCTTTGTCAGATGAGCAACACGCAGAATATCAATACAACCATGCAAGAAAGTAAAATCGGACGGGTAGAGAAGTTACACGAACAGGAAAGCTACTAAGCATTCCATTCTCAACAGCGTTGATACTCCGAAGATGTTGAGAAAAAAAAATGCTCATTAGCACTGCTACTTATGTAACGTCCGTGAAGCTTACGAAGAGCATATTGCCGCACACGTAATCCTACAATTCAATTTCCCTTTCTCCAATCCTTAACACTTCAACCTACTTCCCTCCACTGACTAATTTCTAACAGTTCCACCAAATTCTAAATAATTCCATATTACCTATCTCCTCACTCCCTAACTACCTTGCCCTCCTTTTCTCTCCATTAATTTTCCCTATATAAACCCCTTCCTAAAACCCAGGCCCTTAGTTTTGGGAATCAATAAGCGCCATTCGTCTGCTACGTTCTGCCACTACTAACGCTACTAGCGCCTCGCCTCAACACTACCAGCGTCTTTCTTCTGCTGAACAGCTTGTGCGGATTGTCGTTTTACGCGTCGTTCCACTCGTCGTTTTACTTGAAGCGAAGCTTTTGTTAGAAGAATAAAGTGCTGGTATTCTTCCCTGTCTTCCGCTGCTGCAGTCAAGGATCACGTAAGGACCCAACATATAACTAGTAAAAATTTTAACTTCGAAAAAGAAAATCCGACCTCCTTACTTGACTGCATCGTCCAGAAGGGCTATTCTTTGGCCTTTGTTCCTATTTTTGCTAGTTTTTATGCATTTTTTGCAGCTATGCAATGCAAAAACGCATATTGACGAGGGGCTGTCTGTGCGTCCGTGTGTCTGTGTGTGCGTCTGTTACGCATTTTCATCTCAAGACCTATAAAAGCTGTAGGGCTGAAATTTCAGGGGATTAATCTACATGCACGTGTCGACCCCAATCCCCAAAATTGGCGCCATCACTCGTGTGGTGCCCGCGTATGGGCCAGCCAAAGTTTTTTTGGAGCAAGTTCATAACTCGGGAATCTGAGAAGCTAGAATGCTGAAATTTTAGGGGAATGTTCCACGTCCAAGTAGGTGATAACTCAGGAGCCAGGAAAGCTAGAAAGCTGAAACTTTAAGAGGCTGTTTCCTGCCAATTCTGGCAGCAAGTCTTAATTTGTTCAGCTAGAAGAATTTGTCGTAAAAAGGACGCCGGTAGCAGCAAAAACTGCGGGAAACTACGCAAAAACGTATCTTCGCACGGGCAGCCCGTGCGCTGGTCAATTATTGATTTCTTTGGACCGTCCACTTTTTTTAAATTTATGGATTCGGCCTTCCAACGACCGCAATTTTCTCTTATCCCGGGACGTGTTTCAAATAATAGACCAGAATGATGGTACCAGGCGTCAAGTGTAAGGTGATATTTTACGGTGCAAACTGTCTTTCATCTTCGTTTAGATGTAGCAGTAAGGTGATATTTTACGATGCAGTCTGTCTGTATGTTTCATCACTTAGCTGTAAACACAGACGGACTACGCATGCAGCTAGGAGTGGGAATCGTCAGTACAGCCTCCTACCCGCCATGTACCGAACAGTCATGTAACTAATTTGCAAGACGGATATGTGAAAGGAAAAGAGAGGGAGAGAGTGCAGTAGCGTGAAAGTAATAAAAGTGATGGAGCAGATGAAAACGGAGGAAACTAAGACATATGCTACTAGAAATTCCTCGAAAAATCAGATAAATCGAATTCAAATTGCCGCAATTACCCCCAAAAATTATCATAATCACCGTAAATTTTTTCAAAAATCACCGTACCCATACAAAAAGAAAATAAATTACCACAACCATATGACTCACCTTTTGTGGATCAGGATGCAACAGATCACGAGCTAACGGCATTTTTCAAATATATGTGTACGTCCTGCGAATTCTGGACTTCCACCGTGCGGAAAAACTCTGTAACACATCACAAGCAATTATATTTGGCCTTTTTTCGAGTTAAAAATTTGCGGCGCTACAAAAAAAATCCGATAAACACACCGAATATCGTAATAAAAAAGCCCCAGGAACGATTTTAAAAAAAACCGCGAAATTGCAATGAAAATAATAGTAGCGGTATATATATAAAAAATAATTTTCATATAAGAAATTTAATCAACCGGATATGAATGTTCCGGTTCATTAAGTAGTATACATTCCTATTCAGCACCACAACTGGAGACCTCGTCCGAGAGTATGACGTTTGTTGTGTTGATTAAATAACCAAAATTGGTTAAAACAAAGAAAATATTTGTGAAAAACATATTTCGAAATCATCAAAAAAAAACCGAGATATCTCCTACTTTGGAGATATTTTCTCCTTTTTTTAAGCAACAGTTTTGAAAAATTATCAAAAACAAACGAAACGACCGTCAGGATTGCCAGTGGTAGGATGATAATTCGACGATGCTCAAAAAAAAAACGGGAAGAGTTGCTCGTCGCATTGTTGGGAAACCAAAGCTATGAATGATGGGTTTTCAGAAGTAATCCAGATAACATGCTGATTATCATTGCTAGTGCTCCAATGAGTCAGAACTGGCTTGAAGGACATTCAGTTCAGGGATGAAACACAGACAGGACAACAGCTAATGCACATACAGGTTCGCTTATCTGGGTATCTGAATTAGCACTCACTGTTTTCCCACAACTGTCAATATTCGACAGTGTCCCTTTCATCGGCGGGCCTATGGTGCCAAACAGACTTTTATAGTTTGCATCTTAAGAATTTCCGAAACACTTAGCGAAGCAGTATATGCCAGTAAGAAGAGGTGGGCTGGTCATGTGGCATGGATGTCAGATAACAGATGGACGAAGCGGATAATGGAATGGTATCCACGCAGGGTCAAGCGAACACTGAGGAGGCCATCAGTGAGGTAAAGAGACCCCATGGTACGCCTAGTACGGTATCGCGTGGACTCGGAGAGCGCAACAACGAGTTGAATGAAGAAATTGCCAGTGCTGCATCAATGGCGCTTGACAACGAACGTCGAAGACACACCGAGCTGCTGCTCAAGTATCTACTCCGATGATATGAGAATTAATAAATGGCCAACGCACGGGCTGCCCGTGCGAAGATGCGTTTTCTGTATAGTTCCCCGCAGTTTTTGTCGTTACCGGTTTTCGGCAAGTGCTTCTAGCTAAACAAATTAAGACTGACTGCCAGAACTGTCAGGAAACACCCCCTTAAAAATTCAGCTTTCTAGCTTTCTTGGCTCCTGAGTTAGCAACTTACCCGAAAAAAATTTTGGCGAGCCCGTATACGGGTACCACACGGGTAAGGGCGCCCATTCTGGGGACTGAGGCCCGTAAGTGCACGTAGATTAAGTTCCCAAAGTTTCAGTCCTTTAGCTTTTGTAGGTATTGAGATGAAAAGTCGGTACAGACGCACACACAGACAACCCCTTGTCAATAAGCGTTTTCTGCACTGCATAGCTCCAAAAAACGCATAAAAACCTAGTTAGTAAGTTATTCTCATGAAAGTTGCCTCCTCATAATTTTACATATAATTACTACCCGTATCTATATCTTAGTATCCTTCTCTTCCAT